CTAGGTCGCAGCACTGTCTTGGAGCATATTAATGGGCAATTGGGTTCCCCGATCTAAATTTCTATCCCGGTTTGTTGCACGTTCTTTTTTTAATATGAAATAATCAAATATGGGACATATGTATAATAACAGAACCCTACACCCTCCCCTTGGCTTCGCTCGTGAAAGTACGGCAGCAGGATACACCGCATCACTCGTGAAAATAACTTCCATACGCAATGAAAGCCACGGGGAGGGTATCTGTCATAATACTTCATTATCACTGAAAACATTTTTCCCCTGAGTAAATTACAGTAAATATGCCATTTCCCTCATACTCTATTCAGACACAGCGCAGTGAAAATTGGATTCACATGTAATGCTTGAAAACATGTCAGCAAAAATAAATTAAGTGAAATTCTACGTGACTTCATAATAGTTGGAAATGAACACATTACACCCGACCCTACCACTCCATATACAATGTAAACTACACCCCAAAACATCCTTTCACCCACAGTTACTACCGTGTTTCACCAGTGTATTCTATTTGACGTCAGGAGAAATTGAAATAAACAAATTAATTATAATTTCAGCCTCTAGTTGACCACTACCTCGTCTTTATGTCAACTTGCAGTTATTCGTTGCCTACATCAGTGACTTCAAAATATATGTTTCAATCCCAGGAATTTCACTCGCTGTTAAATCCTGGTGTAAGCACCATATGAACTATGAACAATGCATGAGAAGCCAGCTGTGGGGTATATTCAATCCTATAGATTTCTCATTGTTTGGTAACTATTTGCTGCAAATGCAACAAAAATCAATATAAAAAATATTACCCACACAGTATTCTACAGGTTACTTGTTTTATTATGTTTTCCTTACAATATTTAGATTTGTGCGAGGGCTCAATTTCTCGATATAGAACTGTGTATTCAAAATATATAATTTTTAACTACAAGGAACGCAACAAAAACGCACAATACGAGGGCTAAACAAATATTTGGCCTTCCGTGATCCATCGCTGCCTTTGGACCCCCTATGGTACTCATTATCACTACACGGGACAAGATTTAACTCACGAAATATAGCATATACACACGAAATCAAGTAAAGTACGTACGCAAATCAAAATAGTAATACAATTGTGATTCACCAAACTGTCGTACTTATTCTTATCCAGAAAAAGACACAGCCTTATATTTAATCTGATTAAATAAGCTTACGTCGCTGTTACGAAGTCCGAAAACGGGGACTTATAATTCGGTCTCCGTGCGTGCGTGCGTGCGTGCGTCGTTCGTGCGTCCGAAGTCGTATTTCGGAATCCTTTGGGTCGTTCATTCTTTGCATGTGTCTAGCATGTTGTATTTTGGACATACCTTATCATTTTTGATTCAAATTTGGTACATAGATTATACATGTTAGGATACATGTCTTCCGACCGTCCGTGTGTCTGTCCGTACGTCAGTCCGTCCGATGTCATATTTCAAAATTCTATGGACCGATTCTGTTCATTCTTTGCATGTGCCTAGTACTTTATATGGGACATATGTACGTGCAATGGTTTAGCGCTTTGAATAAAAATGTCCGACTGGCAGCCATCTTGTTTATTGAAAATGTTGTATTTTGGACATGCTTTGTCAGTTTTCATTCAAACTTGGTACATAGATTATACATGTTACGATACATGTCTATGACAATTTCATTCACAATTGGATCAAAGACGGCCGACTGGCAGGCATCTAGTTTGCTTTTTTAAATGTGGTATCTTGGACATGCTTTGACAGTTTTCATTCAAATTTGGCACATACTTTATACATGTTAGGATACATGTCCATGACAAATTGCTTTCAAAATCGGATCAAGGATGGCCGATTGACAGCAAACTAACTATTTGGCCATACTACTATATTT